TGTAAAGGCATATCTAAACCAACTAAAAAGAAAAAGAAAAAAATTAAACAAGTATGGTCAGATTATACAGTATATGAAACAAAAAGACAAATAAACTATATAGGAAATAAAATCAAGAATAACTTAAATGACAAAAGTTTAAAACCTAAATATTTTGAATTATGTAAAAAACTAAAAAAAAATTATTAAACAGAAAACATTTGAATATCACCAAAAACTTTATAAATCACTTTTAGATAATTTTATAAAAAATCCAAAAGAATATTGGGATGTTCTAAAGGCAATAAAAAAGAAACCAAATATTGAAGAAGATATTCCTGAAATTTTAATGAATGAAAAGAAAATCATAAAACATTTTCAGGATCAGGGTACACCAACATCATATGATAAACCCTTTGTAAATAAACTGGAACGTGAATTAAACATTCTAGAGGATAATATTGAATTGAATATGGAAACTGATGCACCAATTACATTTGCTGAGGTAAAACTGGTCATTTCAAACCTTAAAGTAAACACATCAGCAGGTCCAGATAGAATTGTGAATGAAATACTCAAACATTCACAACCTGTGATAACTAATTCTATTGTAAAAGTTTTTAATTTGATTTTAAAGACAGGTAATTATCCAGATTCATGCAAATTATCATTCATGATCCCTTTACATAAAAAAAGTGACAAGTTAGACCCTAATAATTATAGAGGAATTTCTCTTATAAGTAATCTACCAAAACTTTTTAATGCCATATTGAATAATAGGCTAATCAAGATTGTTGACAAACAATTAAGTGATTGTCAGTTTGGTTTCAGAGAAAATCACAGAACAGCTGTTAGCATCTTTTTATTGAAGTCCTTGATTAATAAATATCTACATAAAGAGAAAACAAAGATTTATGCCTGCTTTATAGATCTGAAAAAGGCTTTTGATTCAGTATGGCGAACTGCTTTACTTTATAAATTATGCAAAATGGGAGTTGGCAGGTCTTTTTACAGAGTTTTAAAACAACAATACTTAAATACTAAATCATCTTTGAAATACAAAGATTATATATCAGATTTTTTTAATATTGCTAGAGGGGTTAAACAAGGAGACACCCTGAGCCCCACTTTATTTAATGTCTTCATAAATGATATTGTAAAAAATTTTGAGGGAAATGATTCAAGTCCCCTTAAGCTTATAAATAGTAAGGTGGGATGCCTCCTTTTTGCAGATGATCTTTTGGTCCTGTCAGAATCGAAAGAGGGTCTTCAAAACAGTTTAAATAATGTTAAATTATATTGCAACAAATGGCAACTCTCTTTAAATGCAAACAAAACAAAATCCATGATTTTCAGTCAGTCCAAACAAAATGGTGAAACATCACATATTTACTATGAGAATGAAGCCATAGAGAGCGTATCAGAATATTCATTTTTGGGAATGTTGATAAAATGTAATGGAAATTTATCACAAAGTACCTTAGAGCTGACAAAAATGGCAAACAAAGTATTTTTTGCAATAAAATCCTATACTAAATCATTGAATAATCTACCTATAAAAGTAGCAAATAACCTTTTTGATTCTTTAGTAAAACCAATTATGACCTATAATTCAGAAGTAACATATTTGGATACATATATGTCTTTTCATAGAGCCAAAAACAGAGCCTTATCTTCAGGAAAACAAATTAATTAACTTGATTTTACAGACAAAACCCCTATTGAAAATATGCATCTTAAATTTTGTAAATCTACTCTAGGAATAAGAAAAAATGCATCCAATTTAGGAGCAAGAGTTGAATTAGGAAGATTGCCTATAGAATGTTTTATTAAAACACAAACCCTTTTATATTTAGCTAGACTATATAATAATAATATTAATCCATTGATAAAGGAAGCTTTTTCTCTAGCACAGTCTCTAGATTTGACTGGAACTTATTCATGGTATACATATGCAAAAAATATTGTTGAAGAGACTAATATTGACCTTAATATTTTTTCTAATTGTAAGGACATAAAAGATGTAAATAAAATAAAAAAGGATATAAAGTTAAAAATGAAAAATAGATATGAAGATTTAATTGAAACTAAATTTGAAAACATTGATGATAAAAGTAAATTTTATCTATATACAAAACTTAAAAAGGATTGTAAACTAGAATCTTATCTAAATATATCTAATTTTCAGATAAGGAGATTGATCACTAAATTTAGACTAAGTGATCACTCCCTCTTAATTGAAAAGGGGAGATATTTTAAAATCCCAAGAGAGGAACGACTTTGTCATAAATGTAAAATACTAGAGGATGAGAAACATTTTTTACTCTATTGTGATTATAATAAAACACTAAGAAATGCCTTTTTTGAACACATATGTACTGAAAAATAATAACTTTAATAATTTAAATAAAGAAGAAAAAATTCATTATTTACTAAATCCATCAACGCCTTTACAAACAAATAAGTTAGGATCCTTCTTGAAAAAGTCATTAGAACTGAGGGCAGGGGACTCTTAACAACATGTTTGTTTTTATAAATGTTGATGCTGTTTTTATTGTGTTTGTTTGATATGTATGTATATATGTTTATTGTGTTAATACATGTTGGTCACAAACTGTAAAGTTTATAAGACAATAAAATATTTGATTTGATTTGAAAAAAAATTAATTAGGAGTTATATTTAGATTTCTTTGTTTGACTAGTGAGCCCTAATGATTTGCATATGGTGCCCTAGTAAATTTATGTAAGGAGCACGGAACACTAGGAGCCCGGATCACCGGAGCACCCGGACTTCCGGAGCACGGACTACACGGAGCCCGGTTGCCCTAGTAGTCTATATTTGTATACGGGCTTGTAGGAGTCATATAAAAGAGAGAAAGAGCGTGAGATAAGGGGGAGAGATAATTTATAGTGAGGAGAGGACAGTTGCGTTTATTTAGTAGAGAGGAGAGCCGTATTGTTGAGCCTGAGGTTAGATGTACATTGTGTTATACTTGTAACTTTGTTATAGTCTTATGATTTTAATAATACAGTATTGAACTTTTATTCGACTTCGTGTTTATGTTCACTTGCAAGACTTCGTTCAGACTACACCAGGATCCATTTATTTATTTATGTGACCAGGATTCCCTTAATCACGCTACCAGTAGATTTCAAGGGTAACCCTGTTAAAGAGTATACTTGGCATTTGTCGTCCGTGTACGAGTGAAACTTAGACACCCAACAACACAACACAACCACAAGAATACACACTTTAGTTCAAGTACCATACTACACTTTTTCGTCACAATATATTATCGGATTTTAACCCTGTGGGGTGAGTTGAAAGACCTATACAGCGGGATATTACCCTTTTCATAAGTGGCGAATTGGTAAACCAGAGTGGTGCGATTTTTAGGGAAAGTGGGGCGATTTTTTAAAAAGTTGGGCGAGTTGGTGAAAAAGTGGGTCGATTTGACTGTGGGGCGAATTGTCTTCCTTCCGCTTATTATTTGGTTTTCATTGTTGTAAGCGGCTGTGTTGTCTTTTTGAACATATGATAAGAAGAAACATGAAAAAGTTATAACATGTATAAGGCAAAACATCTAAACTGTATAGTATATGTATATGATAAATGTTCCAATAAAACAACCGGATAATAGTCATTTCCTTTTCTTTTTTCTTCGGTGTTTGTCATGTCATTCTATATTCATGATATGAACCTGAAAGAGAACAAAGTCCGTATAAATGATAGGGAGGTCAGCCAAAATATGAAGTATAGAGAAAGTGCATAAAATTACATTATTATGGAAGAGCACAAAAAAAGAAATTCATTGGTGCCAAAATTTTGGGAATCGGTCAAGCGGTTCAAAAGTTATGACCATTTATATTTCAAAATTTTGGCCGTTTTCCTTGCGAAGGCAAAAATATCATATTTTGGGCTATTTTTCAGGCCGAATATATCAAATGGGTTAGGAACTGCAAGCAATCTATATGCATTATTGCAATAAGACTCTTTTATGCTTTGATTTAAGCCACTATAGTCCTTTGTAACATCAATATTAAGAAAACTACAATATCTCAAACTTTGTAAAAAAAAACTTTGGACTTAGTTTTTTTTTGCTATGTGTCAAGGGCATCTTTGAATAAACTGCTATGTTAAGACATTGATATCTTGAAATGGAAAGCAGGCAGAGGTCTGGTTGTTTGCAGTTATGTAAAGACCTAAACAGTCAACAGAAATATATTAACAGTTGTATTGCCAACATATCTGAATTTTTTTTTAGCCGACTCAAAATCATGCCGGCAGGCCCCCCTTTTTTTAGGTAGTTTTTTTTGGGAAAAAAATACATTTTTGGTCAGACAATGCTGGAAAAAAATCCCTAATTTTTTCTACTACTTGTTTTGTATTGGTATTAAGTTGTTTCACAAATAAAATAAGCTCTGTAAGCTAATAAAAAAAAATTGAATTAGAAAATCAGCATTTTGACGTAAATTTTTGAGCTATTTTTCGCCAAAAAGACACTAAAATTTACACAAAAACTTAATTTCTTAATTTGACAGTAATTTTTCACAGAAGTTAGTGACTGTTACTGTGACTTTACATGTAAAAGCACCTTTTTGTCATATATTAATAGAATTTAATGCAATACAAATTTAAAAAATGGTCAAAAATAAGAAATGTTTTGACAATTTTGAAAATCGCGGATTTTTTCAAATATTTGCGCAGTTATGCAAAAATTTAACGGAAAATAAAAGATTATTACACATGTTTGGTATCATATTAAAGCTTACAATCTTAGCTTTCAGATGAACCTAATTTCATTGTATTTGGCTGATTGATATTTATTCTAGATGGAATTTGATTAGCCCTATACCTGCATGAAAAAAAACTGTAATTTTGAAAAATCCCAAATTTTGACCGAGAAAATAAAAATAATCCATTTAAACTCTAAGAGTTAAGTCATTGTTTAGTCAGACATTGCTATAATGATGTTTTCTCTTGGAAAATGTATTATTTACACTAAAATATTCTTATTATTCAAAAAAATTGGTAAATATTTTGCGAAAAACCTGTTATTCCTATAAAAAATGGATATGTCGAGAAGTTATTATATATAAAGACCAAGATCAAAGCAGTCTTTAAGTCTAATAATCCATTGGGATTTGCAATAGTGACTATCTGAACTGTTTTGGTATTCATTATAATAATGATACATTAACTATTCATCATTTGACTAAGTTTATTGAATGTTCTAAAGTATATATTTTCAGGTCCGAGCTGTTTCTTCACCAGAATTTACCATATCTACAATAGACAATATGTACATTATACAAATTAAATATTTTGTATTTGTTCAATTAACTTGAGAGTACCTGCAGTTTCTTACAATTCATATAAAATCTGGTTTACATGCAATCTGAAAAAAAAAAGACTTTTTATTTTTGAGATTGGCTGCTGACAAAGTGGTTTTTCTGGATTTACCGTCATCAGAGATGCTCCATGTCAAAATAAACAAATAAAACTCAACTAGATATCATTGAGATGGGAGCCATCTCTGTGGGCCACGCTGTGAATAATGTGTGGTAAAAAATTTGTATCTTTATCATTGGACATGGGGTTGTCAACTGAAACCAAAGTTTTTGACCTTGACCTTTGACCTAAGAAGTTGTACATAAATTATGACACACCCTCTGGTGTTGTTTTTTATACACATATCAAGTATAAACTTTGAAATCATAATGGTTCTCAAGATATAGAGCGGACACGATCTTTACCATAGGACATGGGGTTGTCAACTAAAACCAGTTTTGACCTTGACCTTTGACCTAGAGAGATGTACATACATTATGACACACCCTCTGGTGTTGGTTAATATACATGTCAAGTATAAACTTTGAAATCATAACAGTTCTCTAGATATAGAGCGGACACAATTTGTTAAGGACGGACGGACAGACGGACGGACTGATCACTATAGGGCGTCCACCATTCGGCGGGGCCCTAATAAAGGTCAAATCAATTTGCTGCAACCATTCTACAAATAAATCATTACAATATGATAATTAGTACCCTGGATACATTTCTACAAAAGAAGAAAAATAGGTTAAGAAACTAAAAGAAAACTAAAAGAATTAGTGCTGAAAGACAAGAAAACAATCATTAATCTTGCTGAAAAATAGTTTGTCTATAATAAAATCCACACATCTCCATTCTGGTATTCCTCTATATATAGTAGGCTTCTTGAAAACATTGCTGTTGCTGTCATTGACATCACCCCCCTTCTCAAAGTCGTATGCAATATATGACAACCCTGTATCTGCATCATGCCCTGTGTACTAAAACTCCTTCCCATCAGCCTCTCGACAAAATCTGTGGTCTACTCGTCTAACTACAATAAAAGCTGGATCCAGGGGCGCCTCTCCATGTCGTTGTTCCCTAGAGTGTGCCCTGTCCTAGTGGAAAACCTTAAGTTAATCAAAATAAATCTAGACTGTTAAAAGTAAGTTCTAAATCTTAAACAGAATGAAGAAATTTATTAAGGTCAACTCATATGCATGTGTGTCCCAGTAATAACTTTGTTTGTGGAGATATCGTTGCTCATTTTTACATTGTATTTAATTCTTTTTTTTTCCGTATCATATTATATTTCTGAATCTGTTCTCTATGCTTCTTCAAAAAATTTCTTATTTTTTGTAGTTTGGAAAAAAATGAAAACAACATGTTATAAATTTTGTGCGTCCAAAGTGCTTTTCTGGATTTACCTTCATCAGGAACATATTAAGATGCTTTTTAACTGTGATTCCCTAAAGAGAACCCTTTATTTTACTTCTATTAAATGGTTTGACTGGTGGTATTATAGCACTATCTTTAAGCATTGTATAAATTTTTTTTTTTTTTAAATTTAAAACATTGTGCAGAAGAAATTTATTTAGCTGAGCTGTAGAATTATATAATATTAAATTCAAATCATACACATACATGTTCAGGATGTGCTTCATCCAAACTTTCTAACCAATTCACTGTATGGGTTTTGAGTCCAATATTGGTATTTCCCTCCAGGGCGTTGGTATAGTGACTCTCCACATGACTCTGATGAGACTGTCTAACTGGGAGAAGATCCTTTCAGGCAGATGGATGGACAGACAGTATCATTCCTATAAACACAACAAAACTTTATTGTATAATAGACTAACAAATTCAATCAAATTTCAAATAATCTGAATTTTTATTATTTTAATACAAAAATTGTTCAGAGGAAAACAGATTTTTAATCCTGATCATATTTGTAGATAGTCATAAGGTACATGTGTTATAAGTAAACACAGCATCTGCAATTCTGTTAATAACTTAACTGTCAGTTAATAGGCATCAATATTAAATTACATAATAAAGTAAAAGTGACAATTATCAAATTCAAAAGTCAAGGAATAAAATCAAAAGTTTGAATATAAATATAAATGAAGGATGCAAATATCAACTAGAATTCTTTATAAACAGTGTGCATATTTAAGAAAACATCTACAATATTGTTTATTATGACCAATTAGTTAAAATAACATACTCATGCTACTGTTGAAAAATCATAAATATAAATTTTTAATGTACATGTATAAATGTGTGCAAATATTCTTCCAAACTGTCATATGTATACATTTTTGACAGAAAGCATTTTTGGAAAAGAAAATTTTAGTTCATTATGCCTAATCCATAAGTTTAGAATAAATATATAGTTGGTAATATACTAATCTATGGTTTAAACAACATATTCCTGTCTCAAAATGAAAAAAACAAATGTAATGTGTTCAAATTATACCAACTATAATCAACTGCAATGTAAAGCACCGAAAAATCCGAGTATTATCAATGAATAAAACCCGAGAAATTCCGAATGGATCACATTCCAACGTTAGGAGAATTTACCTCATTACATATTCATAGCTTAATAAAAAGGCCATGGGGAGCGTTTAAAAAAAATTGCTGGTAGAAAGTCCCTTTCAATTTATAAGTTTAATATATTTAAACAAAAAAATACATCCTGGAAATAATTTAAAGTTATTTTTGTTGACTTTTATGAAACAAGGAATTCCCCTCCCTGAAATATGGCAATATTTGCTAATATAAGATATAATAAAGGTACTTACCTTACGTGATTGGCCTCCGTGGCCTTTTTCCAATGTTGTCTGTCCTCTCAGTAAGCAGTCCGTCCAAAAAATAGTCGGTAAAAGTCATTTTGTTACAAGTTTCATGTTTCATGTTAGACACAATGGCGGATACGTCATTTCCGGAAGTCAAGAACAGATAACTCTTTTCGCAGATTTTTTGCGTGAAAACCACGCCCTGCTCATACAAATATCCAATCAATTCCGCAAGCCGCTATTGTTTTCCATGTGAAACTATGGATACGTGTGGAAGGAGAGAGTTCTGGAATTTATGAATCCGAGTGTCAGTGGTGTTTACAAAGTCGTAAACGATTTTTTTTTCACATCTATTTCAAAGATTTTTCATATCTATACTGAAAATCGACCGTTAAGTATGACTGACAACCGGATCATAAAACTTGAATATATTTCCAAAATTTTAAGCCATCAATGAAGAAAATCTGACGAGTAATAGCTTGCGGAATGAATTTCAAAATCAGTAGTACCTTTGACACATAGTTTTTCCGGCGGCCATTTTTTTCAAAACAACTCCACTTCAAACATTTTTTTTATCGAACCAAATCACTGCAATACCCATAAAACTTATATATTTAGAAAGATAAATGTCTGAACTTTAATTACATATCAATTGTTTGCTCATACAATATATTTTTCACCTTTTTCAAAGCAATTGAACTTGGGTAAAATCCGATATTTTTGCCGTCGCAAGGAAATCATTACGTTACGATAATCGCATTGGCGACCTCCCTATAAATGATAGTTATTAATTTAAACTAGCAGGACTTCATTTTGCAAAATAAAAACAATAGAACAATTATTTGAATCTTATAACTCAAGACTCAAGTCATCAATTATTCAATTTCATACATTTTACAATGACAATCTAAAAAAATAATTAAAAATAATCAGTATCCATGGTAACCATGGCAACTGAAACACACACTGTATTAGTCCAAATGATTATGATGTCTTGAAAGGCTATTTTATTTTTTGCTTTGACGCCTTCCTACAACAGGAAGGCATCACACCAAAATAATAAAATAGCCTTTCAAGACATCATAAAATTTTATATTAATATTTGGACTAACACTTATAACATACATGACATACAAAATGTTGATGAGTTGAGATACCATACATCCAGTTTTATTATCGATATCAACAAACTATGATAGGTCTATATTATTTGGTATGCAGTTGTACTCATAGCATTGACATATCTTATTTCCCTGGTAATTATCCCTGTTATTTGACCCTTTACCTTCAGTCTTGTTTCCATGGAAATTATTCATGTTATTTGGCCCTTTACCTTCAGTCTTGTTTCCATGGAAATTATTCCTGTTATTTGGCCCTTTACCTTCAGACTTGTTTCAATGACTTTGAATAGTTTACATATTTTACACGATAAACATGTTAAAGTATTGGTATAACTATTTTAATTTCAATATTTGCATTGGTGTTGTCAGTTTATTTTTGACTTGTGAGTTTGATGTCCCTTTGGTATCTTTTGACTTATGAGTTTGATGTCCCTTTGGTATCTTTTGACTTGTGAGTTTGATGTCCCTTTGGTATCCTTTGACTTGTGAGTTTGATGTCCCTTTGGTATCTTTTGACTTGTGAATTTGATGTCCCTTTGGTATCTTTTGACTTGTGAGTTTGATGGCCCTTTGGTATCCTTTGACTTGTGAGTTTGATGTCCCTTTGGTATCTTTTGACTTGTGAGTTTGATGTCCCTTTGGTATCCTTTGACTTGTGAGTTTGATGTCCCTTTGGTATCTTTTGACTTGTGAGTTTGATGTCCCTTTGGTATCTTTTGACTTATGAGTTTGATGTCCCTTTAGTATCTTTTGACTTATGAGTTTGATGTCCCTTTGGTATCTGTTATCTCTCTTTTAGTATCAAAATTATATATGTAGACCTAAAGGCACAACACTTTTTGTCATTATAACTCATTAATTGTTTGTATTTTAGGTCAACAGAAGAACAGTTTTGACAGAAGGGATGGACATTAGAGCTGATAGATCTACATATATAGTTCAGGTAGCCTAACAAGCAGACATTGATAGTTTCTGTTAGATTTATTCACAACCTTTTTATACTCATTTAGAGCTTGATATTATCAGATTATATAAGTATTCCGGACAGAAATATTTTTGTTAAATGTTTTTTTCATTTTGACTTTCACACCAGTGGCAGATCCAGAAATTTTCATAAGAGGGGGCCCACTGACTGCTTAAGAGGGGGCCCGCTCCAGTGATGCTTCAGTGATTCCCTATATAATCAACAACAATTTTTTCCACAAAAGGGGGGTCCCGGGCCCCCTGAAAAAGCCTCTAAATCCGCCTCTGCACACAGGTAAGCCGTGGAAAAAAATAAGCATTTTCAACTAATTTTCATAGTTTGCTCTTATGTTTTACTGTTACCAGTCAGGGGACTTATTGAAATAAGTGATTTTTTAAGTAGCAAATTCGAAGTTTTGTTACAAATTGTGATTTTGTAGTTTTACCAAAATTTTTAACACATAGGTTTAGATAATATCTTTTCATTAGTAAAATTGAAAAAAAAATAACTTTTTGCTTCTTTTAAGCAGCAAGGTTTATGCCTTGGATGCAATCATTTAGCTGCAAATTCTATTTTAGTTGAAAAAATGCTATAAAAATGGCTTTACATAATGAACTGATTCTTTCTTAACAGATTTTTCCCAGCAGTGGGAGTATTTTTCCTGTAAAATTCAAGGTTTCATCTTATAGATTATGTAATAAAATTCTACTGTTCCCGATCAAAATTTCACTGTTCAGGGGTGTTGAAATTAGTGGGGGTTATTTAAATAATGACACTTAAAGAAGTGATTTTTTGGAAGGAAATTGAGGTATGATACTTAAACAAGTGATTTTTATGTCATTATCCTAGATTTACTACAAGGTCATGAAGGTCATCACCTGACATGACCCGGTCATCCTATCAACACAGATGTTGGTTCTGATAATTTTAGCAACATAATTTGTCCCTAGATCATTAGTATTCTATATTTAAAGCTACACTAAAATTAAATCACTTAGTCTTGTGATTAATTTTTACTACTTAAATAGGTGATTATTAAAGAAAGACAACTCTTACTTCCAACCTTTATGGACATAATGTTACTTGAATCAGTGATTTAGAAAATCACTCATTTAAGTAAGGTTACATACTGTACCAGGTTAGGGGAGGGTTGGCACCTTCAAACATATTTAATCCTGCCACATTATTAATGTGCCTGTTCCAAGTAAGCAGCCTTTCAGTGGTTGTCGTTGGTTTATGTCTGTCATATTTGCATTTCATAAATTGTTTTGTTATGAATTAGGCCGTTAGTTTTCTTAAATGAATTGTTTCTTATTTTTAATATCAGAGTCTTTTTTAGCCCACAATTATATATGGTGTGGGTTTTTCGGATGTCTATAATTGCTAACATCCACTTCATTTGAACAGGGGGGACTTGTCAAGAACACTGGTTCCCCCCCCCCCCCCCCTGGTTATTGGTTAGGTTCATGTCATACACTTTCAGCATGTCTAGAACACTCACAGTGTTCCAGTTTGAATCTCAGGGCAGAAGGGTTCTAGTTGTCTGAAAGGGCACTTTAGCGTTATAACCCAGATTTTAAGGGCAATGTTGGACAGTGTATAAATTACCTTGAATATTGCTAGGCTCAGCTGGAGAAAATTAGTTGTATTTAAACCATATTCAAAAATTATTCTTGATTGTTCTTGATGTTGGTTCAAGTAAGAATTTTTTTTTATCAAATTATCATACCATGAAGCAAAGAATATCATTTTGATGTTAATCTAAACAAACTTGTACATTTGGTAAGGAAAATAAGCCTGTGTTCACCCCCTGGTTCTTGGTTAGGTTCATGTCATACACTTTCAGCATGTCTAGAACACTGTTCTCCCCCTGGTAAGTGGTTAGGTTCATGTCATACACTTTCAGCATGTCTAGAACACTATGTTTACCCCCTGCTTAGTGGTTAGGTTCATGTCATACACTTTCAGCATGTCTAGAACACTGTGTTTACCCCCTGGTTATTGGTTAGGTTCATGTCATACACGTTCAGCATGTCCAGAACACTGTGTTTACCCCCTGGTTATTGGTTAGGTTCATGTCATACACATTCAACATGTCCAGAACACTGTGTTCTCCCATGGATATTGGCAAGATTCATGTAATACACTTTCAGCATGTCCAGAACACTGTGTTTACCCACTGGGTATAGGTTAGGTTCATGTCACACACTTTCAGCATGTCCAGAACACTGTATTTACCCCCTGGATATTGGTTAGGTTCATGTCATACACTTTCAGCATGTCCAGAAAACTGTGTTCACCCCCTTGATATTGGTTAGGTTCATGTCATACATATTCAGCATGTCTAGAACACTGTGTTTACCCCCTGGTTATTGGTTAGGTTCATGTCATACACTTTCAGCATGTCCAGAACACTGTGTTCTCCCCTTGTTATTGATAAGGTTCATGTCATACACTTTCAGCATTTCCAGAACACTGTGTTCTCCCCTGGATATTGGTAAGGTTCATGTCAAATACTTTCAGCATGTCCAGAACACTGTGTTTTCCCCCTGGTTATTGGTTAGGTTCATGTCATACACATTCATCATGTCCAGAACACTGTGTTTACCCCTGGTTATTGTTTAGGTTCATGTCATACACCTTCAACATGTCCAGAACACTGTGTTCACCCCTGGATATTGGTTAGGTTCATGTCATACACATTCAGCATGTCTAGAACACTGTGTTTACCCCCTGGTTATTGGTTAGATTCATGTCATACACTTTTTAGCATGTCCAGAACACTGTGTTTATCCCCTAATTATTGGTTAGGTTCATGTCATACACTTTCGGCATGTCCAGAACACTGTGTTTACCCCCTGGTTATTGGTAAGGTTCATGTCATACACATTCAGCATGTCTAGAACACTGTGTTTACCCCCTGGTTATTGGTTAGATTCATGTCATACACTTTCAGCATGTCCAGAACACTGTGTTTATCCCCTAATTATTGGTTAGGTTCATGTCATACACTTTCAGCATGTCCAGAAAACTGTGTTCACCCCCTTGATATTGGTTAGGTTCATGTCATACATATTCAGCATGTCTAGAACACTGTGTTTACCCCTGGTTATTGGTTAGGTTCATGTCATACACTTTCAGCATGTCCAGAACACTGTGTTCTCCCCTGGTTATTGGTTAGGTTCATGTCATACACTTTCATCATGTCGAGAATACTGTGTTTACCCCCTTGTTATTGGTAAGGTTCATGTCATACACTTTCAGCATATCCAGGATACTGTGTTTACCCCCTGGTTATTGGTTAAGTTCATGTCATACACTTTCAGCATGTCCAGAACATTGTGTTCACCCCTGGATATTGGTTAGGTTCATGTCATACACTTTCAGCATGTCCAGAACACTGTGTTCAGCCCCTGGATATTGGTTAGGTTCATGTCATACACATTCAGCATGTCCAGAACACTGTGTTCACCCCCTGGTTATTGGTTAGGTTCATGTCATACACTTCCAGCATGTCCAGAACACTGTGTTCACCCCCTGGATATTGGTTAGGTTCATGTCATACACATTCAGCATGTCTAGAACACTGTGTTTACCCCTTGGTTAATGGTTAGGTTCATGTCATACACTTTCAGCATGTCCAGAACACTGTGTTTACCCCCTAGTTATGGGTTAGGTTCATGTCAC